GCTTTGCCGCGGTGCCGCCGATGGACCTCGAACCCGTCTTCAGGAGAGCGGGCTATGGTGGGGGTGTAGCGCCCAGTCTGGTGCTCCAGGAGGGCAGGGCCCCAGTCACTGCTTGGCTTGGTGGCATTTTTCAAACGCTGCAGGAGAGGTAGAGGGGGTGCAGGGGGTGAGGTGAGTCAGAAAGGAGTCCTGTGGCCTGTCTACCCACCCGCCATTCCACACTGCCCCGGGCCCTCACCTGGAGGAGGGTGTTCCCATCTGTGCGGGAGAGCAGGAACAGGGCGTAGATGGGGATGCAGATGACGGAGGACAGAGCCATGAGGAAGCCGATGGTCACAGCCCAGCTTGGGTACTGGTAGTTGTTGTAGGTGATTGGCCGGTACTGGATCACCGTGAAGATGAGAATGAACTGCAGAGGTGGGACGGGTGGGCATGAGGCCTACCCAGAGCCCTCCCAGGCCCCAAGCTAGCCCTCCTCTCAGCACCTTCCCTGGTGTGCCCGCAGAAAGAGGCATTTGAGTGGGGCAGGGGCAGCTGCTGACATCTGGGGAGTGGAAGCAGCAGGAGGAACCAGGGCGGTGGGCAGCGGGACACCACGGGAGGGACAGGCTTTGTCACAGTCCTGACCTGGCCAGAGCACAGTCCAGCTGCTGCTGCCTTTGAAAGTCAGTTCTCTCGAGGACTCCCAAGGGCTGCCCAGTGTTGCCGAAGCAAGACCAGGTCCCTGGGTTTCTCCTGAGTGACCTCAGCTTGTCTTACTGGCCATGCTACCTTGCCTTGGGCCCAGTTTACCCAGCGTTCCCTGGTGTCCCTTCATGTATTTATTTATTTACTTTTTTGGAGAGGTTTTTGCTATAGGGCATGTGCACTCGCCAGAGACACAGAGAGACAGAAAGACAGCGAGAAATCACCCCCCACCCCCAAGGGGGGATAGCCACGCCGCAATCTTTTCTCCTCCGTTCTCCTCCCGGGATCTTGGGCATGCACGCACATGTGCCTGGCATGAGTTTAAGCCACTGGGTCTGAGACTTGAACCACAGTCTACTACATGGGAATTCGACTAGATGGAAGTCCAGCGACATAGCCATTATGCTAACTGCTGGTCCCCCTTCATGTATTTTTTTTTTTAAAAGAGATTTCTGCTATAGGGCATATGTACTCCTCGGAGAGACAGAGACAGAGAGACAGTGAGAAATCACCCCTGAGGAGGGATGCCACATCGCAATCCCTTCTCCATTCTCCTGAGATTTGGGGCATGCACTCACATGCACCCAGTGTGTGCCTGGCATGAGTTTCAAGCCGCCAGATCTGGGACTTGAACCAAGGTTGGCCATGTCAGAGTCCAGCGTAGTAACCATTACGCCACCTGCTGGTCCCACCCCTTCATGTATTTCAAGGAATCACCCACAGGAGCTTCTTCTCCAAACCCTGAGCCAATGCCACTTCCTGCAAGAAGCTGCTCTAACTTCCCGAGTGCTCCTAAAGCTCCTAAAGGGCCCCAGTGCCATTTCTCCTCTGCTTCCACGCCCTCTCGCGCTCTCTCTCTCGGTTTTTTTTTTTTTTTTTTTTCATAGGGTGTGTGTGCTCACTGGAGACAGAGGTGAGGTGAGGAATCACTCTCCAGGAGGGATGGCCACGCAGCAATCCCCCCTCCTCCATTCTCCTCTCAGGATTTTGGACACTCATGCACATGTGCCCAGCATGATTTTCAAGCTGCCAGGTCCGGGACTCAAACCACAGTTGACTGTGCAGGAGTTCAGCACCTTGACCACCATGCCACCTGCTGCCCCTCCCAGCCCCCTGCTTCTCTCAGAGTTCCTTTGTATCATGATTCCCATGGACCTGGGAGTTGCCGGGTTGCATCAGCTCTGGGTCCCAGTGCCCGGCACAACCTCTCTTTTTCATTTTCTCTTTTGCCAGAGGGTGCGTGTGCCAGAGAGAGAGAGAGAGAGAGAGAGGAGGGGGAGAAAGCACCCTCCAGTGGGGCGTGGTCATATTATTGTACAATCCCTTCTCCATTTCTCCACGCTGCTGTGGTTTGGGGCACACACACACGCACACCTGCTATGTTTTTCAAGCCACCAGGGTTGGGACTTGAACCATGTGGTCAGCCATGTGATCTTGCTCCCTTAACCTCCAGGCCACAGGGCTGGCCCCCATTTGCTGACTTGAACGATTTGTGCAGAGGTGGAAGGGGTGGAGAGAGGGTAGGCAAATCTGTGGCTGTGGAGACTACGACTTTGCCCTTGGGAGGCTCCGACAGTGGAAGCAGTGTCAGGCTGCAGGTGCTCTGGGCAGCCTCTTTGGAAGATGAGTGAGAGGGGAAGGCTTGTGTGCACAGCAATAAAACAAAAGCCAAGGAGAGCAGAGACCTGGGCAGGTGGCCCCCTGGTCACTCAGAGGGCTGGTGTGGGGGTGCCTCTGTTGGCCAGGAGGGCTCATCCCCTCCGGCTGTCAGCTGCAGCCTGGAGGTCAGGCTCCTCTGGCCTCCCTGTGTGCCCAAATGTTGGGAGGCAAAACCCATAGGCAAGCGGGGGACACCTCCCGGGGTACTGCGCACCACATGGCACCAGATACTGATCTACGTGTGGACAAATCCCTTATTTGAGCTGACGAAGGAGCGTCTCAGAAATATGGAGGGGTAAAGCCCCCAAAGAAAACACGACAGCCTAGAGAGTCGTGCCCATGGAGCCTGCAGCCCTCCGCCCGTCTTCTTGGGCACGGAGAGGGCACAGCCTACTTTGCCTCAGTCTCATGCATCCACCGGATCCGGGCCAAGGCTGTCCTACAGACCCTTCTGCTCCTCCTGGCGGGTGCCCCAGGCCTCCCAGGGCAGCAGCCTGGCTGAGCGCTCCTCCCTCCCCATGGCCGCTCCCGGGGAGCAGGGTGCTCTGCAGCAGTGCCCGCCCTCACGACCTCCCACCACTGACAGGAGACTTCCGCTCCTCCTGTCTCTGAGCTGGGCCAGTGGCCAGGGCTGGTGCCCGTGCCAGGCTCGAAACATCCCCACGCCCCATGTGGTGGAGGCTCAGCCCTCCAGGGGCCTGTTAGTCAGAAACATGAGCCAGAGTGGAAGTCCGGGGCTGAGCTCCCCATGGCCCCGAGGACTTGAGCATGATGAGAGCGTGACTGGACACTGCCCTTGCCACTGGGCTGACTGCCACTGAGAAGCAGCCTTGCTTCTTGTGGAGGGACCGTTACAGTCAAACCCCTCTGCGTCCCGCCCTGAGCAGGAAGGAGCAGCGTCAGCTGCCCGGACGCCCTAACTGTAGTTGTTTCCGGTGAGGCTCTGGCCCGGCACCCAGGCTCCACATGGCTCCGATCTGAGCCATGGCTCTCATGTGGTCAGCCATGTGATCTTGCTCCCTTAACCTCCAGGCCACAGGGCTGGCCCCCATTTGCTGACTTGAACGATTTGTGCAGAGGTGGAAGGGGTGGAGAGAGGGTAGGCAAATCTGTGGCTGTGGAGACTACGACTTTGCCCTTGGGAGGCTCCGACAGTGGAAGCAGTGTCAGGCTGCAGGTGCTCTGGGCAGCCTCTTTGGAAGATGAGTGAGAGGGGAAGGCTTGTGTGCACAGCAATAAAACAAAAGCCAAGGAGAGCAGAGACCTGGGCAGGTGGCCCCCTGGTCACGCAGAGGGCTGGTGTGGGGGTGCCTCTGTTGGCCAGGAGGGCTCATCCCCTCCGGCTGTCAGCTGCAGCCTGGAGGTCAGGCTCCTCTGGCCTCCCTGTGTGCCCAAATGTTGGGAGGCAAAACCCATAGGCAAGCGGGGGACACCTCCCGGGGTACTGCGCACCACATGGCACCAGATACTGATCTACGTGTGGACAAATCCCTTATTTGAGCTGACGAAGGAGCGTCTCAGAAATATGGAGGGGTAAAGCCCACAAAGAAAACACGACAGCCTAGAGAGTCGTGCCCATGGAGCCTGCAGCCCTCCGCCCGTCTTCTTGGGCACGGAGAGGGCACAGCCTACTTTGCCTCAGTCTCATGCATCCACCGGATCCGGGCCAAGGCTGTCCTACAGACCCTTCTGCTCCTCCTGGCGGGTGCCCCAGGCCTCCCAGGGCAGCAGCCTGGCTGAGCGCTCCTCCCTCCCCATGGCCGCTCCCGGGGAGCAGGGTGCTCTGCAGCAGTGCCCGCCCTCACGACCTCCCACCACTGACAGGAGACTTCCGCTCCTCCTGTCTCTGAGCTGGGCCAGTGGCCAGGGCTGGTGCCCGTGCCAGGCTCGAAACATCCCCACGCCCCATGTGGTGGAGGCTCAGCCCTCCAGGGGCCTGTTAGTCAGAAACATGAGCCAGAGTGGAAGTCCGGGGCTGAGCTCCCCATGGCCCCGAGGACTTGAGCATGATGAGAGCGTGACTGGACACTGCCCTTGCCACTGGGCTGACTGCCACTGAGAAGCAGCCTTGCTTCTTGTGGAGGGACCGTTACAGTCAAACCCCTCTGCGTCCCGCCCTGAGCAGGAAGGAGCAGCGTCAGCTGCCCGGACGCCCTAACTGTAGTTGTTTCCGGTGAGGCTCTGGCCCGGCACCCAGGCTCCACATGGCTCCGATCTGAGCCATGGCTCTGCCTTTCACTAGCTGTGCCATGGTGGGCCGGTTACTTAATACCCTGTGCCTCGGGTTCCACGTCTGCAAAATGGGAATGGCAGGTAGACCTCGGGGTGCTCTGCCCCGTGAATTAACGTACAGACGGTGTGCACGGAGTACCTGCCTCCTTGCCACGGTGCACTCCTTCCACCAAGCCAGTGCCCCAACGGGAGTCTCCAGCTGTGGAAGGTTTAAACCAGGACCCGACACCTCTGTCCCCTGCAAACCAGCCCACGTCACTGCCTGGAAGCCCTGGGAAGTTTCCCGACATCCGACTCCTACAACCTGCTCGGCAGGGTCCCAAGCCGCTCCTGGAACACTCACGCATTCTCAGCACGTGTCGTAGGCACCTTCCTTCTCTATGAGGGGGTGGGGATGAAGGGTTTAGCAGGCACACAGAGGCTGACACTGACAGCGATAACTCGAGGGCCTCTGGGGATGCTCGGCAGGGAGGTCCGGAGGGAGGGCTTGAAGAGACACTCTGGCTGCTTTCCCACTCCGTGCCTGGGCAGCGCCTTTGGTCAAATGCAAGGCTCTGCCTTCCCTCCCTGCGCTGACTCCCTCAGCCTCCCTTGGCCTCCCAGAGGCCAGAGCTGTGGAGTGGAACTGGCCAGCTGGCTGGGCTCCTGCTCTCCCTCTGCTGGTTCCCAAGGGAGGGCGCGGCAGCCGAGGCACTCACGAAGATGATGGCTGGAGAGACGAAGCGCCAGCAGATCTGGAAGAACAGGGGCGGTGGGAACCCCAGCATCATCTGGATGTCCTGGAAGTAGTTCTGGTGCCCTGGAAAGAGGGGGAGTCAGCCAGCCCGGCAGGACAGAGTGGCCAGACCAGGGCTGGGACACCAGGGGCCACCGGCGTGGACACATACCGTAGATGTACATGATGGTGACGCACATGATGCAGGAGATGATCACCAAGGAGAAGCTGGCCGCGTAGTTGTCCATCAGCAGCAACCAGTAGATGCCTGCCTGTGGGCCAGCGGGCAGCTGAGCTGCGGCGCCCAGGGCGGGCCTCCTGCTCCCCACGGAGCCCAGCAACTCCGCCCAAGCCTTGCCCTGACTTCGTTCCTACCTGGCTGGTGAGGGGGATGCCCAGCAGGAAGCCAGCCATGGCCACGCCCAAGGTCACATAGGTCTTTTTCTGCAGGATCCATTCATTTCCCACTTCATCCACGATGGCTGTGACCAGCGTCTCTAGGAGGCAGAACTGCAGGGTCCGGCCATCAGAGCAGAGGCCTGCTCCCCGGTCTGGCCACCCCCTCCCACAATACCACGCCTTGGACCTGAATGCCCCACCTCATAGTCGAGTGCCCAGCCTCGTACCCGAGTGCCCGGCCTCATACTTGAGTGCCCAGCTTCATCTCTGAGTGCCCAGCCTCATACTCAAATGCCAGCCTCGTGCCTGAGTGCCAGCCTCGTACCCAAGTGCCCAGCCTCATACTCAAACGCCAGCCTCGTACCTGAGTGCCCAGACCCAGCAAGATGAGCATGAAGAAGAAGAGCAGGGACCACAGCGGGGAGATGGGCAGCAGCGTAAGGGCCTCAGGATAGGCCACGAAGGCCAGGCCGGGGCCGTGGTCTGCCACGCGGGACACGTCCACACCCAGGTGGTTGGCCATAAAGCCAAGGATGGAGAAGATGACGAATCCAGCATAGACGCTGGTGGCACAGTTGGTGATACTGATGATGACACTGTCCCTGATGGGGAGGGATACAGAGAGGGGCTCAGGAGTCTAGCTTGCCTCCTCTCCCCAGCAGGGGCCGCGGGAAGACATGAAGATGGCAAATTCCAGGAACGCAGGTGTCCTAACCCCTGATCTGGTCTGCTCTGGGCCCGAGGCTCTGGGTCCTTGCAGACTCCTGGGGATCGTTGTCCCCATCCCTCTTCTCGCTCTGGCCAGCTTCTCCCCCTAGACCCAGCCTTCCCAAGACCTCAAGGGCGTGGGGGAAAGGAGGCGCCCTCAGGCGGGGCAGCTGAGCGGGCTGGGCATGCAGGAGCGGCTCACCGGTAGCAGTTGTTGTGGAACTTGTTGTAGGAAGCCATGGTGATGAGTCCCCCCCAGGCGCAGCCCAGCGAGTAGAAGATCTGGGAGGCGGCATCCCCCCACACCTGCAGGGAGGAAGGGGCAGTGGAGCTGCGGTCAGAGGCAGCCACCGCCTGGCCCTCCCGTCCCCTTTTGTGTCCTCCTCCATCGCACCTTGGCCTTCAGGATCTTGTCCCACTGGGGGGTCAGGTAGTACATGATGCCCGTGAAGGCTCCATCCAGGGTCACTCCACGGACAAACAGGATGGTCAGCACCACGTAGGGGAATGTGGCCGTGAAGTACACCACCTGGGGCAGTATGGCTCCGTGAACCCGGGGCTTCTGCTGCCCTGGGCACCACTCCCTGGCCCCTCACCACCACTAGCCCTCTGGGCCCCTCTTCCCCTCCCACACCCCAGCCCCGATCCAGGGAGGGGAGCCAGGGTCTTTCTGGGTGGGCACAGACCCTGCCAGGGAGGGGTACTTGCTTTCCCTGAAGACTTGACCCCTCGGATGAGGCAGAGGAAGACGACCACCCAGGAGATGCCGAGGCAGCCGAGGAGGGGTAGCCGCACCTCCCCGAAGTTCCCGATGTCGTCTGACAGCTCCAGCACATAGAGCCTGGTGAAGTGGAGATCTCTGAGGGCCGGTCCCCATGCCTGGCCACATCCCCAAGGTCCAGGGCCCAGCCTGACTGCTCCTGAGGTCCCAGCAGCCAGTTCGGGCACGCGTGCATGGCTGTGAGGCGGGGGGCACTGTCTGGGGGGGCCCCGCCCCCCCCC